CACAGGCTAAACATGCTCAGTGCAAGATATCTGGGTTCTTGACCTTCTTGGCCACCTTCTGGACAATCCCTCTTCCTGAAGTGCAGTGCCCAGCATTGAGCCCAGTCTTCCCAATGTGGCCTGCCTAAAGCAAAGGTGATTTCACCTCCTGGTCCTGGTGACTCTGCCCCTCTCAATGTAGCCTGAGATCACCTAGGCTTTCTCGGCTGCCACAATATCATTCTATGGCAAAGACAAAACAAAACTAAACAAAACAAAAAGCAGCAGAAACTGGGATGAAAAGGTTCATTTTCCCATCTGAGAATCCAGTTATTCTCACTGTTATACCAGAGAGAAGACATAGTGGGGAAAGGAGTGTTTGCCTTACTGGACAGTGCATGGGGTGGGTAGTGGAATCAAGTCCAGAGACATAGACTGGGAGACAGAGAGAAGGAAATGGAGTCAGAGATAGAGACCCAGCCAGCAAAAGGCAGAAAAACATAGAGCACTCAGAAAGATGAAGACAGACAGGCAGAAGCAGAGGCAGAAGGAGACAGGCAGACACACAGACTGGATGGAGACATTCAGAGACACCCCCAGCCCCAGAAAAGGCTCAGGAGCTGCTGGTTGCCCAGGTAACAGTAGGCAGGTTACACTGAAGGGCTGGAAGGTTGTGGAGGGCTATTACTATGGAGACTGGGAGGCCCCTATGGTCCAGTTCCAGGAGGCCCTATCACTTAGTTGTCTTAGAAAGGTGGGAAAGAGAAACCAGAATCTCCAACATTTTCTCCCTGTACTCCTAGTGTTGGGTCTAACATAAACACACACAGAGGGTGTCAAATGAATGTACATTTGGAGTGAATTGGAAGTTTGACTCTGCTGCTTGCTACCAACAGCACTGTGGGCAAGTCACTTCCCTTCTCCAGGCTTCAGTTTCCCCATTTGTAAAATGAGAGAATTATACACAGGCTTTGGACTTATAGTGCCTAAAGGGAAGAGGGGACAAGTCCCTGAAAGAGTTGGGGTGGGAGGGACAATATCATCTGTGGCCTGAGGAGGCTGAGGGCTAGATTGTCTGCATTCCTGAAGGGAAGAACACTGAGACATTGCTTAGGGATATTAAAAGGCAAGAAATCTAGGTCCCTGGGCAAGGGAGGAGGGGGAGGAAGCATAGTGTAATGCAAGTTCTGATTTCAAGTCAGAAGGATCTGGTCATTACCTATTTGACTCCAGGCAAATCACTTCCCAAAGGGCCTCAGTTTCTTATCCGCCAAATGAGAGGGGTAGACCAAGTGATCTCTATAAATCCTATGCCCCTATAATAATCCTGAGTCCATATAAATCCTATGATTAAAATCACATGGCCCACACACTCACATGTTATTCACCTAAGATGGGATGTTCGTAAAGACACATACACATAGTCACAGGCATATGTTTAGATACACACAGTTTCACAATAAGGCACTCATTCACATTCTCACAGACATGCAGAAATGCATGGTGATAAATGCATAAAATGCAGTCCAATATATGCAGTTACACAATATATGCCAGCCACACACTCACTGACAACAGACCACAGAAGGACTGATGACTCTGCAGCCTCCCTCCTCCCTATGCAGGAGCTGTGGTGGCACAGAGAAAAGAGAAGGTCGCAGGGACAGAACTGGGGACTTCTCGGGATCTAGAGAACCTGGAGAAAGAAACAGAGGGGAGCTATTGACCCTGAAGCTGTGATAGGTACTCAAAGAGATAATAATTGAACAAAGGAGACACACAAGAGACATGAACAGAATCCCTATAGGATCAGAGACTGGGAGAAAGCAAGGGAGACCTTGAGGTTCAGAACATGAACCAGGGTAGTGGCTGCACGGAGGGGGAACTCAGTGTGTGTGCAGTGTCCCATCCAATCTGGCTGAGGATTCTAATGCATATAATGTTGAAGTGGAAGAGATTTATAGTGTGCAGGGGGAAGTAGTGTGAGGAATGTAGAGTGTGTGATTGTGGTGTGTGAGGTGTAAGGAATGGAGTATTCTTTTCAGATGGGTAAGGAAAAGAGTGTTAGAGAGAAAATGTGCTGTGGAAGGAAGTGGGGGTTTATAGGATGGTAAGTGGGGTGAATCGTATGCAGTATTCAAGAATGTACAGTTTGTTGGGGCAGACATGTCATGAGGAGTGTGTGTGTTGTGGAGTGTGTGGGTGATGTGACAGGTGTAGGTTGAAGGGTCCAGATGACTAGTGAATGTCTAGTGAATAAAGGTGTCTGTTGTGGGGTCGGAGGTGGGATGAAGGGTATTTATATTGTGTGTGGGTGATGGTTGTATAGTGGGAGGTACGGAAGATGTATAGTAGACCCACTCACTCCCAAAGCTTCCATTATCTGCAAATACTGGTCCCTAACCTGAAGCTATTTCCTGTCAGCTGTGGTGCTGAATGGACAGCGACCCAAGTTCAGAGCCTGCGCCAAGATGGTTAGTCTTTTTGTCCTTCACTCTCCACTGCTCGGTCACTGCGATTGTCCTTTTGGCCCCTCAGCTCATCGTCTCTCTGTCCTTCATCCTCTTCCTCCCTGTTCCTTAGTTTCTCCCTCCCTGGCCCTCCCTTGGTCTCTGCTCTTTCTGTTCATCGGTTTTCTTCCTTTCTCTATGATCCTTTGTGTCTCTCTGTCACCCTATCTTTTTCTCCCAGTGTTTTGGACTCTGTCTACATCAGTTTCTGTCTTTTCACTTCTCCATGTCCCTGTCTCTCCAGCTTCTTTCTCCTTTCTCCTCGATATGACCTTCACTTGTCCTTTTTTTGCTGCAGTTAAGTTTTCACAGAAAAATACTAGACGGTTGTGGGGATGGAGGCGGGGACCATTAGAGAACTCCCTCCACCCACCCCATCTGGGGAAATTATGATCTCGCTCTTTTTCACCCCACCCCCTTTGCTATCTAGACACACAGAGACAGCCACACTCACATGGAATATTCACAATTACACAATCTCACAACTAGCCACGCGTGGAAACACACAACATCACCATGAAAGGAACACACATGATTCACACAGTCACAGCTATAATAAGTATTCATAGAGCATGGGCCAGCACATCCAGGCACATCTGGTTCACATTCTATAAATGCCTATGTTCAGAACACAAAGTCACACACACGCTAAATATCAAAAGAGCACACACAGACCCATAAAAGCCATGTCACACACAAATTACACACATCATAAAAACAACAATCATACATATCACATAATGTCACAAGTCACCCACACTCTGTAAACACAATCACACCCAATACCACAATTATGCCCAATAAATATTACACAACCACACTCAGTCACACAAAATATTGTGGTCCAGGTGGATTTGAATGGAGCACACATACTGCCTCTAATGATTACTCCCTTTGTGCCAAGATATTTCACCTCTCTGGGTCTCAGTTTCCTTCTCTGTAAAATGAGGATAGAGTCTGAGGTCCGTTCTAGGCCTAAATCTGTGTGATCTCCCTCACTCCTCCCCTTAACATAGTTCTGTTCCAGCAAAGACCCCAGAGAGCAGTCTATCTCTACCTTTCTGACCCTGTGTCTACTCCCTCTGGCATCAGCCATATCTCTGTGTGTGTGTCTCTCTCACTGTCTCTGGGCACTCAGCACCAGGGACAGAAAAGAAGGGAGGGGCGGAAGAGCCAGAATCTCGGTTGCCTTGGAGACGGGAGCCCCCCCCACCCGGGGGTGGAAGGAAAGGCAGGTCCCGCAACGCGACTGCGCAGAGAGAAGACTTCACCCGGCAACTCCGCCCCTCTTTGCCTGCTTTTCTGGAAACCTAGAATATGGGGCTGTGGGGGCAGCAGCGGGAGGAACTTGCATTTGATCGTCAGGAGACTCAGACTCTAGTTCTGGCCTTGCTTCTGACTTGGCCCTGACTTAGTTCCCTCTTTTGTCAAGTTACTGGAGAATGGGAGGTGGTGTGGTGTGAGGAGGACAAAGTAGGGAAAGGACTACGTGACTCTAGGGCCGAGGGAAAAGAAAGACAGAGACCGGAAGGGACCAGTTCTCATTGAGGAGCTAGGCTCCCGCTCCTCCCTCCGCTCCCCCCCCCCGCCCCCCCCCCCCCCGCCCCGCTCCTCCGAGAATCAGGTAGCCTCATCCCTTATCCTTCACACCCTCAGGAAATCAGGCCTCCTGATCTGACCCACAGATCCTCAGGGCCCCAGGTTCCGATCTCTCGTTCTCCATCCTCTAGCCTAGATATCCATCTACTCCACCTCTCCCGCTCCCCTCAGCAAAAGAGGCCCGGGCGTCCCCAGGGGTTGAGGTTTTCTTTGATTTTTTTTTTATTCCAACGGGGACAGGGGACTCGGGAGGGGGAGGGACAGGGGAACCACCGACCCCCTCCCTAGGGAGTGTCATAGAAATCCAGGGGTTTCTCCCCAAAAATAGAGAAAGAGACAGAGACAGAGACAGAAAGCTGGGCCGGAGGTCGCCTCCCCCTCCTGCCCCAGGTTGGGTGGGGCGCTCAGTCCAGAGGACATTTGGAAGCAGGGCCTCTGGGCGTCCCCCAGCCGTGAGGAGGGATTCAAGCATCCAGGCTCTGGGCCTTCGCCTCCGAAATCGGCTCCTGCTCTCCGCTACGCCTTGGCCAGTCCACCAGGGGGCTCCAGAGGGCAAGAGACCCCACCCCCACCCCGGTCCCGCCCGCCCTCGGGCGGGTTTGGCTGCCAAAAGGCCAAATCTTGGGAGTCCAGAGTCGGAAATTCTCTGTCCGTTATGCTCCCTCCAGTGGAGAGGGGCCAAGGGCTCGGCCACTTGGGTTCCCCTCCATCCAGGCCACCCGGTCGCCTGGGTCGCATTCGCGAGAGCCTCCGACAGGCTCCTTGTTCTCTCTCTAGTCCAGGTTGCACCTCGTGGGGTCAGGGGACCGGACGCCTAGGTCCTTCTCAGTCTCGGCTGCTCATAAGCCGGAGTTCTCCCCGAAGCCTGAGTTCTTGAGCTGGCTGCCAGCCCGCCCCATGGAATGGGGGCGGTCACTCTTGCTCGGACAGCTCCCGGGGCGCCGGGGGCCCGGGTCGGGGCCTCGGGGGGCTGGTGGTCTCGGTCGGGGGAACCAAGCCCCGAGGGGGCCCCCCACCTGCAGCCCGTAGGGCCTGGATGCGTCGGCACTCGTGGCAGACGCGGACGTGGGTGCAGCCGGCCGGGGCGGGAGCCGGAGGCCGACCAGGGGGTCCAGGGTCGTCCAGGAGGCGCTGGGGGCCCCCGTGACCCCCGCCCAACTCTCCGCCGCCCGCCCCCGCAGAGTACAGTTTCCCGTTGCTGAGGCGCATCTCCCGGACCGCCCGCAGGGACAGAGCAGCCCGGCCCGGGACCCCCGGGTAGCGGCGGCGGCGGCGGGAACGGGAGGTCTTGCGGCAAGACACGGCGTGACGGAGTTCCTGCAACATCTCCTGGCAAACGGACACCTGCGGGGAAGAGGGGGCGGGGGAGACCGGAGGAGAGGCCGGATCACGCCTGGATCTCCAGGCTGGCCCCACCCCTTTCCACCTTTCTCTGTTCCTCACCTTCTCTCCGCCTCTCCCTTTTGCCGCCTCTCCTCCTTCGTCCCCTTTCACCGCCTCTCTATTCTGCTTCCCCCCCATCTTTCTCTGACTTCTCTCATCTCCTCTCTCTACTTTCTGACCCTCTTGTTTTTCCCCAATGATCTCCCTCGACTTTTTTCTCTCCTCTCCGACCTCTCCTCTCCTGCCTCCATCCCATGATTCCCCTCATTTCTGCTTCTCTTGGATTCTCCTCATCTCCTCTCTAATCTGGCGGATCTTCACCTGCTGTCTCTTCTGTCTGACTCCCTCAGAGCTCTCTGAAGGGAGGGATTGTCCTCTTTACATCTTTGTACTCCCACTTTCCAGCACAGTGTCTGACACAAAGCTAGCATGGCTAGCATTTTTATATTACAAATATTATCTCATTTGATCTTCACAATGACCCTGGAAGGTTAGGTGCTATGATCATCTCCATTTTACAGTTGAGGAAACTGAGGCGAAAAGAAATTAAATGACTTGTCCGAGGTCATGAAGCTAGATGTATTTGAACTCAGGCCTTCCTGAGTATTCTACCCTCTGTGCCACCTAGCTGCCTTTTCTTTAACTGGGCACTGAAACTGTTGATTCTTTTGTCACCTTCTTGAGGATGTGGGCTATTTTTGGTCATAATTGTCTCTGTCACACACAGAGTGGGACGTGATCACACACTAATAGATTGGAGCTGGAAGGGACCTTACAGACAATCAGGTCCATCCTCATTTTACAGATGAGGAAACTGAGGCCCAGAGAATCTGAAGCGCCATTCCCAAAATCACAAAAGTAATAACTGTGACTTGGGAGGAGCTCAGGGGAACTGTGACTGAAGTAGCGCATGTTTCTGCACTTGAGGAGTTGGGGGGGGGAGTCTTTTTTGGAGATGGGATAAAACTTGAATCTTATGGGACAGTTCTTTCCATTCACTCCCATATCCTTTTGAGGATGAGGGAAGGAAAAGATCCCTTGAGATGGCAGGGACTTGTGGCATGAAGAGCAGCTGACTTCAGTGACTTGGGCTCAGGTTCCAGCTGGGTGGCCTGTTGGCCCATTCATTGAGCCTCAGTTTGCTCATCTGTGAAATGAACAGGCTAGACTTAATGGTCTAGAAAGTTCCTTCTGGCTCTGCTCTGCAAGGTGGGAAGGCACTAAGTCATCAGGCAGCTTTCTGATTGGAAGTGTGTGGGGAGTGGGGAGCAAAGCGTAAAACGGATCATTGAGCCTGATCCAGAATAGGCCTGGTGACTGAATCCCAAATCAGCTGGCGTTGGGAACTGGGAAGAAGTTGTGGGATGGCAAAATCAGTAAAGGGAAGGTGGAGGGGAGGTGGGGAGTGGGACTTCTGGTTCAGAAAGAGTGAGCTGCCTAAGCTGGAGGGAACAGTGGACAAAGAGTTGAGCTTGCAGACAGAAAAACTTGAATTCAAATCCTGCCTCAGACCCTAGCCAGTTGTACCATCCTGAGCAAATCACTTTAGCTCTCTCAGCCTCAGTTTCCTATAGAATTGGGATAATAATAGCACCTATTTCACAAGGTTTTTCTGAAAATCATATGAGACCAGGCTTGTCAAACCTGTAAAATATGAGTTGTTGCTATTATTTATTCATTATTAGCTAGACCTGGATAGAAGGACTTACGAAGTTTAGCGGCCACCCAAACTGTGATAGGGAGGCTTTCTTCTAATTCTACTGTGTGACTTTGGACAAGTCAGTTAACTTCCCTGGGCCTCAGTCTTCCCATCTGTTAAATGAAGAGATGGCACCAGATAATCTCTAAGGCCTCTTCCAGCCCTCAATGCTATCATCAGTCATTGACTCCACTTTCTGGGCCTCAGTTCCCTCATTTGTAAAATGAAAGGACTAGTCCAGAAGAGAGGCAGTGAAGTATAGTAGTAAGAACATTGGACTTACAATCAAAGAGACCTGGGTTCAGATATGACCTCTGACACATACTGGTTGGGTGACCCTAGGTAAGTCACTTAACCTCTGGGTACCCCCAGCAACTCCAAGACTATAGGCTGCAAAGCAGGGCAAATCTTGATAGGAGGAATATTCTCACTGCTATTTCATTTTGTTCAGCCCTTTTTCAATCCTTTCTGACTCTTCATGACCCCTATTAGGCTTTTCTTGGCAAAGGAAGCGGTTTGCCATTTCCTTCTCCAGTTCATTTTCTAGATGAGGAAACTGAGGCAAACAGGGTGAAGTGACTTGCCCGGGGACACACAGCTAGGAAGCGTCCGAGGTCGGATTTGAACTCAGGAAGATGAGGCTTCCTGATTCCAAGTCCAGGGTTCTATCCACTACACCACCTCATGGCCATTAATTAATTCCCTACAGAAATGAACAGCCCCCACAAATACCGAGTGTCCTAAAAGTCTTAGTGCAGTTGTAAGCTATGAAAGTTTAAAACTGTATATACGTACATATCCATATATGACACAGCTATTTCTACATATATCTACATATATGACACAGCTATTTCTAGCCTCTCCAAGGCTTTGGGGAGGAAAGCGTGTGTGTGTGTGTGTGTGTGTGTTAATGTGTGTGTGCACGTGTGTGCGCACACGAGAGAGAGAGAGAGAGAGAGAGAGAGAGAGAGAGAGAGAGAGAGAG